AATCTCCGTGACAGAAGCTAGTTTTGATCGTGTAATCTCTGATAAGTAGCACTTATCATCAAAAGGGAAAAGTGGGTATGCATTGCAGTAGGAAGAAACAATCATTGAAACTTTATGCTTATTACAACTCACTGAAGTACATTTTTCTTTCCTTGGTTGTCAAAACAGATAATTATGGAAATACTAGAAATAGTTTGAAAGAAGACAGAAGCAGTCAAAAAATTTCTTTTTGTAACATTTCATCTTCTATCCAGCTGTGCAATTCAGAAGCCACTTACTACTGTGTAACAAGTACATAATGCATGAGAAAAGCAGTAATTTACTGTGGTTTTCTATTTTCAGGCTCTTGACACTAATGAAAGGAACATGCAACTACTTTACTTCCCATGAAACATTAACATACATCCATAAACATACAAAGCAACAGTGAGGTTTCAATTTAAACAGAATACTTGTAGCTATGCAGTTCTGTGTGCACTACTGTGCAAAGAGCTGTGTTCATAGAGTAGAATTACTAGAGGTACATTGCTAGTAATTGCAGGATATCACACTGGCAGGTTCAGAGATAAACAACATCTCTCTCCTTATCTGTTTCTCTAGGCACTGCTATGAGAATCTTCTCTGGTTTTTCCCCATGCATTTTCTGGCACCCCAGGATAGTCTGTAACTTAATTTCTATTTCCATTCCACAGACAATGCCATAAACAATGCCAGGTTACTCAGATACTCTCAAATGTCACAACACTGTCAGAGGTAGTGCATAGTTAAAAGGTTTGTTACAGGAAAAAATAAGGGTTAAACTTCTAAAGACATTCAGATACTCCATGTTACAGACAGTGGGATTTTTTAAAAGCCCCTACAAATCAGATACCCTCTGAAACCAGAAATACTATAGAAATCAAATAGAAGTTAAGCATAGAAAGGCTTAAAAACTCACTGTATGCCTGATATTACTAAGGTTTGATAGGTCCTTAAAAATATGCCTCTTAGTTCCTTCCAGGTTTAGAAGCTGAAGACTCAATGTGTCTTAGAGACAAGATACCTAAACCAGTTTTGATATGACTCCCACTGCCTATGTGGGGGAAATCCTGGCTGCGTGTTACATTTGCACTGATTGTATAAAGATGAGAGACAGAAAGGTAGATACTCTATTGAAACAGGCACCATAACCAAAGCTTACAAGTACCTTAAGCATTCAGCCACAATCTCACAGGAGCTGCAGCAACAGAAAATAACAATTTATTCTGTTAGTATTTTTACTGCATTTACATAATGTAATCTCAAATGCCAAACAAAACATTTTTTTAAAGGGAATGTGACCCAAAATGAAAGCAGCAGATGTAGAATGCAGCAAAGCTTGCAAATGCCGTGCAAAGCTGCTTATCAACAAAGTGCTGAGATGTGTCCAGAAGTTCTTGTCAGCAGAACTTTGCTTGAAATTCATGAAGGTGCATAAAAAGAGTGAGACATTCCCACAGAGGCCCTACAGATGTGGCAGTGTTTAACACCTTCTAAGTTTGGGGAGTTCCACTTTAGTAACATAAGTCCAAAAAAATAAGAGTCCTAAAGAAAAGTGTTTTCCTCCTGCCTTCCAAGAGCATTTTAGCTTTCCTTTGCAACTGAGATGTGAAAAATCAAAAATATAAAGGTATAAAAGATGAAGTTTGTAGCCAGAAGGCGAACTAGGACGCAGAAGTGCATACAACACAGAATGTTTCAATTTACCTTACAACATACTTGATGAGCCATACTGAAAGGGGACAAAAAAGGGTCTGTGGCTTGAAGAATGGATGGGAATACTCTTTAATATATTATTTGCATGGATGGAACATTACTCCTATAAAATAACTGGTGTATTCCAAGACAACTTTTGTTAATACATTCTGACAACATTAATGCTTAGCAGGTAAATTAATTTGCATATAAAGTGATAAATTATTAAATCTGCTTCCACAAAAATATTCTTAATCAAATGCTATATTAATATTTGTAGATTTAAAATATTTTCATTAATATAAAACTGCAAGATCTCTAGACATGGACACATTTCCTATTTGAGCAAACCCATGTTACATACATCTAGTTTCCTATATACAAAATGAAGAAGTGTAACTTAAGAAGTCTACTTAATTATTTATCACTTGTTAAATTAGTTAAAAAGCAGTTTGCAGCTGCATAGGAATAAAGATAATGACAAATTCTCCTCAGCCAAACACATACGACCATGCACAATATATATGTAATGGGACAGATGACAAAATGCAATAGTAATGCAAAACCAGACATACACAAGCTCAGATTCTCACCTGTAATAAAGCAGTACGTGTATGCACACATGAATGCTTACACTAGGTACAGGCATGAGCCAAAATTCTCTATCAAGATGGACTCTCTGATTACCATAGGAACAGAATATGCTTAAGCACAAGGTAAGAAACAACTTGATCTGCATTCATTTTCAAAGTTATCACCCTTCTCCTAAGTGAACTGGGAATGAGATTTGGCATATTTCAAGCTGTAATAAAATCAAAAGGCAACCAAATACTTCCAGTATCCAAGAAGCTAGATTTCAAAACCCAAAGATTCCAAACACTAGCATGTTATTGGTCAGATTAGAAGTAACCAAAGTGACGATCATGTTCTTGGGTTATGATTAGCCCAGTACACAGAAGTCTTAGAAACTTCCTCCAAAAATGTGGAAAAAACAGTGGGGGTACAGGCAGGAAAGAAATTGTTAAGTATGTAAAACACTTAACACTGAACAAGTCTTGTGAAGTCACTGGAGTATATTTTCCTTAAATAAATAAATAAATATATATATAAAGAAAAAGAGATGCAAAGTAATTTCTTCAGCGAGAAAATGAAAGCTTTGTAATGGGAACTAAAAAAAAGATCAGTTAGGTGTTTGCAGAAGAATGGCCTATACATAAAATGTTATCAAGTCTTAACATCCTCAACAGACTTAACTGGTGTCATGACCCAGCTGCCTTGACCAGTGTAAGGAAGGACAATTCACATTCATTCTCACTTAAGTGAGTGACAGTCTTGATGAGTGTGAATGGGAGGCCTACAGTACTCACCAAGCCACTGGTTCCTAAAATGTGGTCATCAGTAAGATCAGCAAGATCCAGCTGATTTGTGAAGCCATATCTCTGCAATATTTTCAATTAGTTTGATCATAGAGATCATCATGAGACTTGACAGCCTGAGCAGTTTGGCAACCTTTATCATCAATAGCTGAGAGTTGAATAAAAGACAAGTTTGACAAATAAAAGATCCCAAACATAGAATACTAAAAGGAGATGATAGGCAAGCAGAGCAAAGAAGGGGAACAGAAATTTTAATACAGTTTAACATAGGTCACTTGATATTAGAAAGAAATAGAAAAAAAAAAGATTATGAGCAAAGGAAAGGAAAAAAATGAAATTAACAAAAAAAAAAAAAAAAAAAAAAGTTATAGCACAGGCCATAAAGGTAGGAATATAGGCACAGCTCCAGAAACTTATGCTTTAGGAACTGTCACACTGTTTTGTGGTGTTACAGTATGATGTTGACAGTAAAATGTCATTCAAGCAAAAATCCTGTATTTGTGGGCTTTGCATCCTTTTTCAGAAATAGTCTAGTCTCATAAGAAATATGTGAAAGAACAAGGATATTTGTTACATATGGTTTCAGCATGAAATATGGTCACAAATATTCCCTCATTCCATAGCTGTCAATCAGCAGTTTATCATATCAGCATCACTGTTAAAAAAGGAATATGAGACAGAATAGCAGCCAATAAAGTTTATGTGGCTAAAACACCACAGCAAATCAGTCCTACAAATAGGGACCAAACAGTATTCTATATGTACTTCACTAGTCATATTTATGACGTTACTGTGGTAGAACGGTTTGTGGTGTAACAGCTTCAAATCAGGAGAAAAGTGTACTGTATCACTCTACACTAATGCACACACACAAAAATTTAGATGCACTATCACATATTTAAATGTGACTGCTGTGCTAGTTTCAAAATAACAGAAAGACTTCTTAATATACATATATTTGAACTACCTTTTCTTATACATGTAAAAAAAAAACAACTTAGAGATGACATGAAAGAATAGATAACTACTTTTCAAATTCCTAGTGTATCACTTCTGCTGTAATAAGGTCAATGCACAGCTGTGCAGGTAAAGCACCTATCTGCTAAATTATTTTTCAGATTTATTACCTCATGAAACAGAATGTATAAGCAGTCCTGTAACTCTGCATGCACCATTACTCTCAATAATCTTTCACTCCCCATAAATTGCTTTTTCTGGAAGGTAAAACATTTAGCACATCACTGAACCACAGCTCTCCCACCTATGGAGACTCCTTGCTCCCTGTTTTGAAACAGAACCAATACCTCCAGTGCCAGGAAAAGCCCTGTTGCACCAGTTCAAAACCCAAGGCTGTCCATGTTCTCTGGAGCAGGTTTATCTCAAAACAATTATTATGGCAGTCTGACTCAAGGAAATGACAGGATATAAAACATGCAACACCTCCCCATCTTCAAGTATCACAGGAGGTGGTAATTTCAGCAGTAAAAGTTGTATGTGTACAGTTAGTATGAACCAGAGCTACCTAAAAGGGAGATCAGTCCAAGCTTAGAACACCTGTTGTGAGGACCTATTTTAGAAATTCACAGCAGTAATATCAGAACTGGTTTAATTCAAAGAAACTCTGGAACAGCCATGATAAACTTAAAGAATCTATGTAGATCATCTTAAAGAATTCACACAAATAAAAGTGACAACTAATGAACACTACAGTTCATTTTTCTGTTCGTTCTTCTTTTTCCTAAGTGTTAGATATCTAACTAGTCTGTGTATAATTTCCTCAAGGAGGCCAGCAATATACTAAATTCTCACCCAAAAGTGACAAAATTACTAGATGGATGAGTCCACTGCAAATTTATTATTGCAATTGAGTTACAACAATTGAAAAGTTAAGAGACACTTAATCACTCTCACCTCAATTGTAGGTGGATCATTTCTTTTTTTTCTTATCCATGCTGTAAAAGAAATAAAAGTAAAATTGATTATTTCAAATATCACAGACAGTATTAAAACTCAAAATCACAGATTTACCAAGGCTGGAAAAGACCTTTAAGATCATCAGGTCCAGCCTATGACCTAACACCACCACACTGGCTAGACCATGGCACTAAGTGCCACATCCAGCCTTTCCTTGAACACATTCAGGGATGGTGCCTCCACCACTTCCCTGGGAAGTCTATTCCAATGTCTAATCACCCTCTCCATGAGGAAGTACTTCCTAATATCCAACCTAAACCTCTCCTGGAGCAGGTTCAGGCCAGGCCCTCTTGTCTTATTGCTAGTTGCCCGGAAAAAGAATCCAGCCCCCACCTGACTACAACCTCCCTTCAGGTAGTGATAAGAGTGGTAACATCCACCCTGAGTCTCCCCTTCTCCAGGTTAAACAGCCCCAGCTCCCACAGCCTATCCCTGTAAGATTTTCCCTCTAGTCCTTTCACCAGCCTTGTTGCTCTCCTCCGGACCTGCTCCATCACCATCCTGGTACAAGCCAGGATGCCATTGGCCTTCCAGACCACCTGGACATACTGCTGGCTCATGCTGAACCAGCTGTCAACCAGCACTCCCAGGTCCCTCTCTGCTGGGCTGCTCTCCAGCCACTCTTCCCCCAGCCTGTAGTGCTGCCTGGGGTTATTGTGGCCAAAGTGCAGGACCCTGTACTTGGTCTTGTTGAATTTCATGCCATTGGCCTTGGCCCATTGACCCAGCCTGTCCAAGTTCTCCTGTAGCTTTTTCCTGCCCTCTGGCAGATCGACATCCCCCCAGGCTTGGTGTTATCCGTGAACTTACTGAGGGTGGATTATGATGAAGTTGTAATAGCAAATGTTTATACGAATAAATACAATAGAATTTGCTACAACCTGGCAAGTAATATAAATTCCCAAAATATAAAGACCCAAGGTGTAATTTCCTATGTCACTGTTCTCAGTCTTCAGAGTAGGAAGGGGTGGGGGAGGGTGGACATCACCTTGTAAGGAGAGCCTGGGCACAGTTTACATACCACTCTGGCTGCCAAAATAGGGCTTAAAAAGCAAGGGTCATGGCTCAGGCCTATTGTTAAGCTGGCTTTACAGAGCCAAGCTTCACCTTAAGAAACTGAGAAAATGATTGCTGAAGAGTATGAAAAGCCTTACACTAGACTGTAGAAATGGGGATCCTCTGTATGCCTCAGGCATTGTTAAAGCCCAAACCCTATCTGTGTTACTGCCAATTAGAAATCCTTGACAGGGATGCAGGACACAGTCCCAGAACTGACTGAGGACCTGCAGAGCCTTTATTACACCATGTGCTATGGCTCTGTGGGATGCCCCACTGCATGAAGGGGGAGGGCATGGGAACCCAGGGAAGGCTCCCTACATCTACTGCGTATGGGAAGAGACAGCAGAGGAATGAAAGCTGTGGCAGTGATAACTGTCCTGTGGCTCAGGTTTTCCATTACGAACCAAAACCAGCAGAATTATGCCCACTCCTACTGCAGACAATGGTGCTTGTGGTGGGACTGATGGGAGGCAGCAATCCAAAGGGACTCCATTGCAAACGGATAAGCAGCACTCCATTGGGTCTTGCTTCATACTAGAGACAGCTACAATTATTATAGGCTTTATGTAGACAAATAACCTGACTGTGGACAAGGCAATATCCATCAGTCTTTAACAGTATCACTACTGTACCATTTTTTCATGTCTTTTCAACCCACACAATTGGTAGGTACCAAGTTGTATATTTTGTAGACATTCGTCTTTTCTGCTCATATTCTTCAAATTAATGAGTAGCAGAATGCTAGTGGCCAGTAATGAACAGAAGTACAAACATAAGGAAACCCAGTTCCAAGTGCTGAGCAAAACATTCTTTTGTATGTTTGTTTGGATAATTGCTCAAAAATTAGAGAAAAATGACATTTTCCTTAATCCCCATTCAAATTCCTGATATGACCTGTAGCTGTCTAAAACGTTTTAGAAATGGTTTAAGAAGGAATTATTCCAAGTTTTAGTTTTCTAATACTATGTCTGCTGTATCTTGAAGGGAACTAGGGAATGAGTTGGACAGCAAGTCCAGAACACAAAAAGCTGCACAGACTCATAATGTTATCTCACTACTGAAATGCAATTATGCACAGGGTGAAACACTAAAACCACTTTGCTGCAGCAACATTAGGAAACTGGTTTTAGGAGGAAACAGCTTCCAATTAATGTAAGAATAGAGTTAAGGCAGCTTTGTATTTAGCCATGATGGCAAGACCAAAAGCCTCAACTGAAGATTAATGGTAATATATCTGTAATGATAGGATGGCAAGGTATCACTTTGGTTCTTGTCTATCAGATGATGCTTTCTGAAGATATGTTCTTTTAAATACCCTTATCAAACATCTCTTCCTAAAAGCAGTCCCTGCCAGCTCTTCTTAAATGTTTTCTGCTCCTAACAAAGATTAGACCCAAATTTGCCACTGTGGAGAAGTGACTGATCCCTGAACAGTCAATACTACCTTTTCTGCAGAAGATTTATGTTATGCCTTACGCTTCCTTCCCACTGGTTAACAGCTTCTGTTCATGCATTCTTACTTTATGATAGGTTACCAGTTTCTTACATTTTCTTACAAGAATGTCAACACACATCCGTATCTCTCTCATACCTTCTTTTCCCACAAACATGTTTGTCTCTGACTGTCAAGGGCACAGCTGTAGTTTGTTGAGATCAAGGCCGCCCGGGGCCCATAGCTGATGCCCACACAATACATCTGGTTTCAATTCCACAGCTCTCAGTACCTAAGATTGCTTCATTTTTGTTTTTAAATTGCCAGTATTTTCTTAAAGCACCATCTGCATTTTAACTTCAACTGATTACAGTTAGTGACACCTAAAGATAAATTTTTAGAATTTGAAATCCCACAAAAATTAAGCTGCAGTTATGAAGTACTGTTGAAATATAACCATTGCAATTGATTTTCTTTCAATAGCATATAGGACTTTTAGGCAGTTATTTGATTTATCATTTTCAGATTAATTAAATATTTCTATTAAAATATTTTATCATTTAATTATCTGCCTCAGTTTAGCAGTCCATAGCCAGAACAGTGAAGGGTAACACAATGACACGTCCTGTGAACAAAAGCTGTGAAGCAAGGAGCATTAGACCACACATTTTAATTCATTAATAGATCTCAATTAGTACCAACACTCAAAAGCAACAAAACAATCTTTAATTTAGGAACATTGCTTGTATCCAACATTCCATTATCAGACTCCATCTATCTAAATACACAAATAACTCACAGAGTTATAACACTGTGCTATAAAAAACATCTGCATGCATGGTTTTACAGGAACTATCAACCTTCCTTCTTTGTAAAAAATGTCTGGACTAAAAATGTTTTCCAGTTTAAACAAAACTTGCTGATAAAATGATTGAATAGCATTTTCTTAATAACTCCAGATAAGTTCATTTTAACATCTCTAATTAGCTTCATTAGAAAATAATTACTTAATGAAAGATTCCCTTACTATTGCATAGCTGAGAAATACAGTAACAAAATTTACTAACATCTCTTTATAGCCATAAGATTAAGTTAGCTAGCTTTGGTATACAATATCTCCTCTGTGCAAATAAATTTCTGAAATATTCTACAGAAACCACAGATCAAGATACATTAAACGATTAAAAAACATCATCTGAATTGAGTATATTTTTGTATATTGTACTTCTGCGTCTTAACAGTTTTATCAGTCTTTCAAAACCAATATATTTTTCTAGTAACTCACTTGACCACTCCTCAGTCTTTAAGGAGAATAGAAGGGCTCTAATATATTTAGTCCCCATCAGTTTTCAGGTGGTTCTCTTTCAGACAGAAAATTTAAAAAGCCTTTCCAATTTTTCCAAGATGTCAATAATATTTTGAGCATCCAAGACAGGGTACAAAAAAACCATCAACACCTCTTAAGTCAGGCATGGAAGAAATGCATTGTAACAATTAACAGAATAATGAATGTATACAAAACTACAGTGATTTACTACTGAGTTAGCACTAATTTAAACAAAATTCCAAGAAGTAATATCTTGAAATTAAGACATCTTGAATTATCTTTGAAAAATCTGGACAGTGAATACAATTTAGCAATGGAAAAGCTCTCCCTCCTTGCTCTGTGCTCTCCATTACTTTTAGCCAATGCAAGTTTAAATTACTAAATAGTTCATACCACAGTTAGGTATTTGTTGATGGAAACAAGGTAGGTGCTTTATTACATATTATTCAAGCATCATATGCATACATGCATGCCTTTAATTAAAAAGTATTCAGTGACAGTTACAGCTGTAAAATATTTCCACATGAACACTCCCGTTCCCTTCACTAACAAAACAAAATGTCCTCACCGCTATCAGCCAAGCTGCCGTAAATTTGATAAAGCAGAGAAGGTGATATGTATGTACTGAGCACAACCAAAGCATGCATCCCTGCTCCCAAGGCTTTGGGAAAATGAGTCATTGCCTTCATTTCAAAATAATTATGCTACTGCTTCTTATTTTATCTAGATTGCACTTCCTGTATTCTGTACTCATTGTAATGCTACTTTTGTCTAAAAGGAATTTTGCAAGATAGCTGGACCTTTCCTACCTTGAGACCTTTGCATTCTTCATTCTTTCATCAGCACTCATTTGCATTCTCATTAGTATGCATGAGATTTTCATTGAACTTTAAAGACTCCTACTGGTACATAACGCACCATAATGAATGTAAAAGTGAGCAGGCAAATTAAGACTCCCATTAATCACTAAATGTTACCAGTTAAGAAAAAAAAACAGAAGGCTAGGAGTAGATGAGCAATATAATGCTGCATGAAGCATGCAACCTCATGAATCTCTGTAGGTATGTAAAACTACTTATCTCCTCTCAGGAGCACTATTGGCATGTCCTGAGGAGGTAAATTACACTTTCTACAGTAGGTGAACACTCAGAACTAACATTACAAAAAAGTTACCTGTTGTTTGCATCCATATTGCCTAGAGAAAAGTGTGGTACTCTCACTTTGTAGTAAAATATGAGGCCTCATCTAAAGAAAAACAGGTAACATTTGTATTGTGTGTATGGATTATATTCTAAAGTCAAAACTACAGTATGAAAGGAAAAACACCTTTGGATTTTTAAAATGAAAATCAACTTAATTTTATATGTACAAATAGCTAACACCAAGACTAAGAAGAACATAAGGGGTTATGTTTCTGTTCTTTTAAAATTGAGCATGCTTCAGTTTTGCAAAAGCCTCAATGGACACTCATAACTTTGTAAAATTAATGGGTTTGAGAACTTACAGTATTTAATCCTTTGGAGCACTTAAAACTAGCATCTTCAGGAGAAAAATTCCAGGCATGTCCTTCAGGAGTAAACTCTTGGCCATGTACTCTATAAAATCTCAGGGCTAGTTCACAAACATCCTCTCCAGAGACTGAGACACAGCTTGTATAGATTTGAGTGTGTAACCAAGATCACTAGTTTATCTACTGCCTTTATAGTTTTCTACGTGATTTCTGGTACTTTATTACATGTTTACAACCTCACAAACACAGTGCCAAAATAAGCCCCTTATTTTACCGCTGTCCAGGCTGACTATCTTAGATACACAAAGATATTTAATTCAGACCCTCTTCAAATTTCACTGCAGTCTGCTCCCATTCCTTAAACAACACCTTGTCCCTGGTTTTGTGCAAGTTCTCCTCAGACAACTCATGTGTTTAAGTATTTCCAGGGACTGTACTTGTATTCGTTTTGGTCACAAGAGGTTTCTTTTCTAGTCATCACACACTGTGTGAAAAAAATGTTGTCCATTAGTGACTACCCACAAGTGAAAAAACTAGCTCCTGGCATAACAGACACCACACAGGTGAAAGCAGCTCTCTGCAGATCCTGAGAAAAAGGAGAGGAAATGAGGCAATAGGATCTTTAGCACACTTCTTTAAAGCTAAAAGTCTGGAAAGGAGATTGTTAGGCTTCTAAGCCTAGGCAAGGAGACTGCTATTGCTGAACCAGTCAAAACTGAAGTGAAGAGGCTGCAGATGTCAAAGTGCATACACAGGATTTGGAGCAAAGGTCCCTGGAGATGTAAGCATGTGCCCATCAGAGAGGATTTAGAACACTAAAAAAATCAAAAAAAGTCCCAAGAATAAAGAGGAAACAGAAGTCAGGAAATTTATATAGCATTTTAATTTTATATTTATCTTTTATTGCTCAGAGAAAACAGCAAGTATTTTTTAAATCCATCTGCAAAGTCTCAGACTATTTACTGGAATGATAAGCATCCCCAACAGCACGAATTACAGAGTGGACACCCACAGAAAGAATGCATGAGGAAATTTTCAAGAGTCTTGGCAGAAGACAGAGGATAGAAGTTCAGCACAGGTCTTGTGGGCCTGGTAAACCTACAGACCAACCTTAAGGAGTAAAAAACAGAGACAGAATTGTAATGAGCCTCTCAGCTAAAAACCTGGTGTTGAACTGTTCCCACTCAGGTAACTGGCTTCTGTAATAATGTTTGAACTCTACTCTTCCACACTTTCCCATTTCTTACTCATTGAGAATTGTTCATTTTACAGGAGGCAGAAAAGAAGCAGTGGACTGGACTTCAGAGTATCCCACGTTCCTAATTCACACCCTAACATGTAGCAAAGGCACAGTAGTTCTCATCAGCTGCTATACTCACAGCAGAAGTACCAGTTTTGGCTTTTAAAAATGATGCTATACTTTCACTGTTTAAAATGTAATGTTTAAATTTGTATTGGACACAAAAAATACAGGTTGGCCTTTTTCATGGAAGTCCTATACTTTTATCTGCCAGAAACACGCACTACATGCTCATTCTGCTTAAGGAATACACGGGGGAAGAAAAGATGCATATATTTTTTCTTTCTGTTTCTTGAGATATTCAGTACTTAAGAGGAAAAGACAGTTACCTATCTCCATACTCTTAATTTTCCTTTTCTCTGTGAATTCTATTTGGTGCTGGCAAAAATCACAAAAAAAATGCAGCTACAAAGATGAGGAAGTTAAGTGTTAAAAGCGTAACTGCAGCTCACAAAAAATGGGACTGGCCAATTGTCTTTTTTTCTTTAAGACAAGCCTGGATTAAGATGCCTTGGCTTGCAAAAGTGCATTTCAGATCTCACAGCTGCATCTTTTTAGGCAAGTTCATACTGCAGTGCACCTAACCCTTGAATCCAAGGTCCCTGTACTGGTGCTTTCCTAAAGCATCCTTCCAAACAGCTGTACCCTCCCTTGCACCACACTGCCAATTTGTGCTAAGGTTTCTGAACAGATATAATGCAGGCTTACTAGTGCTACACCAATTCCAGCAGTCTGAAGGAAGAGGTCCACATAGCAAGTTGATTGGACCACTCTAAGACCCTTTGTGATAGGGTGATTAGCCCACATCCATCTAAGTCTGAGTGCTGCTGTTAATTCCAGCCAAGTGCAGAAGAGACTATTGGATTGCTTTTTTTGACTGTTAAAAGGCAGTGAGAATTCATTTACAGCAGAGCAGTTATCTGAGGTTTCATATATGCTTCTCAGTGTTTGTGGGTGCAGACTGATTGCACGACTGTCACACAGACCTAGGATGACCAGCAGTGGATTGGGAACTTTTGCACGAGGAAGTACAACTTCACAAAGTTGGATTAGGTAGATACTCATTCAAGCACTAGATTATTCAGTAAGTAGAAGTCTAGCAGGCTGCTGCTGTCCTTCAGAAGAAGGCTATCTCAGACTGCTAAAGAATCAGCAGTAATTAGGTTAAGATTTTCCAGCCAACTGTGGGTACTGCAGCAGCAGAAGACAAAAGCTGTTGATATAGGTGTTTTGCCACAGTTAGCAAATGCTGCTAATAGGGTTGAAAGACCTTTGAGAAGCCTATAGCTGTTAATATTACCCTTAATAAATAACAGAAGACTGATAAACTGTTACCAGGTTTTGCAATTCCCTAAAATATTCTACAAAGAGTATAGGACATCACATACCACCATAAAAAAAAAAAAAAGGAAGTCCCATGACTGTGCCACACATAATTCAATGCACCTACAAATTAACACCACAGTGAAGGCATAACTAGAAAGTTTAAACATATTAAGTTTTGGTTATTCTATTAGATCCCCCTTAGTAACAGGAGAAAGTAATGATCATACAGGCTTTACATATTTATTAAGTACTGATTTCCTAAACATAATTTATCCTGTTTGCAAAGGGGTTACTTTAAGATTTTACAGTAACTATGCAGTTAAACAAAAGCCTGCATTACTCAGAATGAAAGATAACAGACAATCTATTCACATGGTCAGTCTTTTAATTAAAAATACTGAATTTGCATTCAATGGCAAAATTTAAATAAACCCAAAATATTTAGGATTTACCTTCCCATTCTGTTGGAAAGTCACCCATTTCATACTGATATGCTTGACGATTTATTGCTTCTACAAACCTTCTTTCTTGTATAATCTGACCTACAGTGAAAAAAAAAAAGAAAAAAAAAAGGCAGTTAAATGTATTTCTATACACTACTTAAAACTGCTGATTACATTATTGTTTTGAAAAGACTCTATACTTATTCACAAAATCACAATGTCTACAGGATAAAAATGAAGGATCAAAATAGTGAGAAACCTGTTAAAATGTAGATGTCCATTTGAAATGCTATGTTTTCCAGTAACTTTAACAAAAGGCACTATGTTCTACAGCTGATTTGGATTACCAACAACAAATACATTTCTGCCCAAGTTATCCACCTCTTTGAGTTATCCTGCTCTTTGAGAACGCTTCTCTGAAGAAGTGCTAATTAGTTTTCTATCAACATTTCTTTCCTTCACCTGGATACCTTCCACACCATTGCTGGTGATGGATCAGACACTTGATGCTATTCTTGAGTCAAAAATCAGCACTGAAAGTTCACTGGTTAGCTTTGCAAACCAGTCAGGCCACATCATCTCCAATCACTGGCAACTGCTATGTGAACATCAGCCTTTTCAAATATGCTTGCAAACCAAATATTTTTTATGTTAAAGCCAAAACCCAGTAGATAGTTCTCTGATAAAGAACATTCATGATATTGAAAGGAAAACCAGTGTGGAGAATTTGGATCTACATCCCACCCACAGATTCTACTGCTGCCAAAGAGGAAGAATTAAGATTCAACTGGTGACACAGCACACAGCAGACCAACTGTCAAATATCATGCTACTGTACAGAGGAAGAATATTTTAATTTGGTTTTTAAATTAGCAGGTAGTGGACAAATGTGGAGGTTCCCCATCCCTCACAGGAAAAAACAAACAACATTACCTTTACTCCTAGATTTTTACCTCCCTGGGAGGCTGACAGGGAGAATTTTGACATTTTGAGGAAGCACAAAGAATAATCTGCATAAAATATTTTCTCTCATAATTATTTGATTAATGTAGTTCATTCCTACAGTATGCTTTCAACAAGTATTTCAAATGAAGTAATTTTAAAACTGATAGCAGTCAGGAGTTACAATTCGCCCATCTCTAGCTAATAGATTGCATACTATTGTTCATCAGTAAGTATTTGATACAGTAAAATAAGAACTTGTATTGAAACTGCAATTCATTTTCTAAGTAGCTTCTTTAGATTCATATTTTTTATTCATTTTTAAGCAATGCAACATTTTTACTGTTTCAGATATGCCACCAGGCAAAGAAAAGTGTAGCATACTTTTACCTCTAAGATTAGGTTTTTTAAATTAGTGTTGGATTTATACTTATTTCTAAGTACACAGATCCTATATGCTAAAGATATTATGTTTCATATACTTGCTTTAAAATAATTTCCTTTTAACAATATAATGGATAATGCCATTTCTCCAACTGTCTTTATCTACAAAGCAAAACAAAAATAAAGAATTACTTTCTTTCCATAAGAAGAAGATTTCCAGAAAAGCTGAAGACCTATCTAATTAGGTCTGATCCTAGTTAGGTCTCAGAATTTACACTCTGTTCCACTGTTGAAAATTCATTAGATTTTACTGTTAGCACAGCACCTTTTAAAAAACTGTCCATAAACTGAGTCCTACATAGACATAACAGTCTGATTAAACCAAAGAGAAGTATATTTTTCTCCCTGCTACCACAGCCTGTGATTGTTAGATCTTTATTGATTCTCTAAGAAAATGTTTTCAACTAATCTACTTTTAACAAAATTCACCACTTTTATTCTGCTAAAAGCTTTTATAAGAGACATGTGAAAAATTCATTCTGCAGATCACACAATCAGATCACATCATAGAACCAAACTCAGCATTGTTTTTCTCAAGAATGTTATTTTGAAGAATCTTCACACAGTAGTGCTAATGGCTTTTAAGCCTCTCTGCATTTGTGATGCACATGCAACACTAATTAACTTCAACTGTCTGATTTGCCTTGTCCCCTAGGTTTCTTTTGGCAGACCACCACTGACAATTAATTTACATAGACTTATCTATTGCAGACCACACTCGGCCACTTCAGAGGTAATTAAAGCCTTTTATAGCCTAGAAAAATGTTTTTTCATACTAACAATATTGACTACTTTCCTTATATTAATTCACTCCCACATTTTCAAATAAATACTGTGCGTTTTGCTACTGCAAACTTCACTTGTAAGTGTATGCATATGAAGCAATTACAAATTGCAATGTAAGAACCACTATTTACAGTTTAAACCTTAAATTTAATATTATTTTACTTTGACCACCGGATCTTTGAAAAAATACTGCGAGGTGGGATTATATAGAACATAACAAATTCAAAGAATAATAGCTTATACTAATAAAACAAGAAGTGAATTACTTCAACAAGAATTTAACAGATGTACAGATTACTTTCATAGAATACACAGATATAATTTACACAAAACACTGAATTAGCCAAGATTTGCAACTTTGCAGAAGTTAAAAGCAGGCAAAATGGCCAAGAAGTCTAAGTGATGAACAGATCTTTCAGCAGTGATACAGAATTTACACATTTTAGTCTTATATATTTTCTTACTGTACGTATTTTTCTCTAAGTCTTTCTTCCCAGTCTATTCCAAAGTTAATGTGTGATGACTGAAGTGAGTTTGTATAAAAGCCTGAAACCAAAAGTGTTTAACAGAATTTGGGCAGCCTGTCTGCATGAGAAAGAGGTAGGAAAAATCAAGCAAGGGAAATACTAAGTGAAATGTGACAGGCTATTAAATGACTTCATGTATTATTTTCTGAATTTCTGCATCCCCATCTATAGAATATGAAGCCTAGAAACCAAGTTATACTTCCATATATACACAGATGTTATAAAATTCATATTTAATTTTTTCTGATACTTCTAAGGAACAGCCTCCCTTCCGTGGATAAAACATTATAGTTGTTCCCACTGCAGTCACTAAATCTGATATATCCACATCTGCACTAAGGAAAACCCATTGAAGAACTGTCCCAATCAAACTACAGTTAAATAATGAATAATCCCAAACCTCTGTTCTATAACCAAATCATTATTCTTCCCATTTATATATATAATGAGAGAGATAAAATATATAAACACACAATTTTAAAGTTCTTCAGCAGCCCTAGATGGATTTTCACTGTTTAGAAATATGTTACTTGAAACAGAATTCTCCATTAACCTCCAAGAATATTTGTCTAATGTGTACAGCTAGAACAACCTAAGGCACACATGATCAACAAGAGAAGAAATGGGCCCATCAAAAAGGAACTAGATATTTTTGGCACCTAAACTGAGCAAGAGCCCCTGCCAGCTAGGAAATGCCAGTATGTTTTGCAGCCAGCAGACAGAATCAGAATCACATTCTCACACACATGTGCACATGGAGCTACCTAGTTAAAAGAACAATTCACAATTCTCATTCAAATTGAATGAATCTCAGATGTTCACAAGAATGCAGGATCAGGACTCTTTTGGCTTGCTGACAAGCAATGACATTCATAGAAATTTGCAATATTACAAAGTTATTCAACTAATGTCGTTAAAAATCTAACTAATTTCTTTTAGGTTTGAGCAGTTATGAGATCACTATGTTTCTATATTAAGATCCAACATAAACTCTTCCATTCTTCAGGGTCTCCATGTACTAAGAAACCCTACTGACACCAAGAGTACACATGACGTGTATCTCCTTATACCAAAGCACAGCTCTAGGCTGTTCAGCCATGGAAAACTCCCGTAGCAGTTTCTGGAATGTTCAGGTTTCTGCTGACCTCAAGATTTAATTTTCTTGACCTTCCTCAGCTTGCAAGACACGATAGAACTGCAGCATAGGATGGCACAGATGCAGACAACTAACTCTGAGGAAAAGGCTTCTAAATAGAACTCAGTGGGTATAGCCACCTTGCTATGCATTGAGAGTTGCATGCATAAACCTCTAACACCAAGATGAAAGAAAACTCCTACGTATTATACCTTCCCATAGTTTTCAGATACACAGGTATTATGAAACAAAGGTGTCAATGGAGTTACAGTCTCTCAAGGATGATAATAATGATTCTGCTTCTACCAAAAAAGAAGGTAACTTAAAAAAAAATGTTAATCTTCTCCTTCCCACCCTATTCTTTCCATTAAAACATAACTAGATATTAATGTATAAAACCTTATAAACAAAATATTAAATTGTTATATTTTATTACAGCATTTGTCTCAATAACATTACTTACTAATTACTTTTACAACATGGACTTTTTTGGGAGGAATGCATGTTTGCTTTTTAAATTATCAACATAATAAGATTTGTTACTCAGAAAAATAAATGCAAATCATACACATTCTCTCCTATCTCTGTGTGTGAATGAATGAGGAAGCACTGCCAGTGATGAGTTTTTCACCTCTAATAAAGACAACCTAATTCTGCACATTTTGGTGTCACTCATTTTCTATCCTGGGATTTTATTATAAAATCAAATTACCTGTGTGATAAACCTTCTGTAATTACCAGTAAGAGTCTTATTTTTCAGCTTAAGGAGACTTTTGATTTGCAGTTGCATTTCACATACTCTAGAGATGACTATACATATATATAAATATCAAAGTTTGATATTTTTAGCTCAAATCAATTAAACTGAAAAATCATTCCCTTCTGGCTGCCTACATTTTTCTTTAATCCATGTTAGTGTAGGACCTTATTACAAGTAATTTGCTACTATAAGACTGAGGAAAAAATACTAGCCTCACAATTTTTGTCATTTTTCCCCCACTACCCTTGCAGGCTGCTACTGTTGATGGCCTTTATTGGAATATAAATTCAATCAGCAGCTGCAAATTTCATGAGATGTCCATCTTCATGCTGAATTTCTAACTGAGTGTCAAAACAATCTGTGGATTTCTCACTGATTAAACACACTTTGCATTGTAAATTTCTGTAATTTTCTCATGTTAGAATTCAAGATGCACTAAAATAGAGCTAGCCCAGATACAGTGCCTACCAACTTGAGACAAGTAGTTTTTCTCCCTCATTATCTCTCTAACATTGAAAGGGTTAAGTAATTACCCATGAAAAATTACTTCTTTTTCCCTCTTACATAAAGAATTAAATTACATGTTTTATTTTTTCTAGTAGTAAAATAGGAAGGCCTTAAATATATTCGAAATTCTCTCAAATCAGTTATTTGAACCTAATATTCATTTGACAGGATAAATAGCTGCAATGAAACTTTAAGAATTTCCTATAGTGTTAAAACGGTGCAACATTCAAGGAGAACAAGTTCAGTTCAGAGATAGTTATTTCTTCTGAATCTCTTATTTACTTTAAATGGAAAAAGAGAAATTATATACAGAAATTACTAAAATTGAAACTTAGTACAGTTTTGAAGTTTTCTATTCTCTGAATACAGTAAATCAAAATACAGTTTCAGATTCAACTACTGCTTCTTACAGACCACACACTGCCTATCAGGTACTTTAGCAGCTCAAGTATTTTGCTGTAGAAGAGTATTTGTTTCTCTCTTCTCTAGACACTAACATGAAATATTACTACATTTCCTATTTGCAAGCAAGCTAAATGGTCTGTGTTTTACATATTCTTATCCCTTCATCTATATATATATATATATAAAAATCACAAAGAGAAACTCGCTGAAAAGACAATTTATCTATTAATGTAGTTAAGAACTGACTGGTTTTCTATTTGTTTTCTCTCCAGGGATAAATAAGTGTGGTGGGGTGGGTGTGGGTTTACTGAATGTACTTTGCTAACACTGAAAATAATTATTCTATTGCAGATGTTTCAACACAAATGCCATAATCCAAAATACAAGACTGACGTCCAGTTCACAGACAAACTCAGTGGGGTCATCTTCTTCTTTCTATATACAAAACCCTCAGTTAATTCTCAGAATGAGGAAAGAAACC